CAGTTATAGTGTGACACGACTGACAGAGCTGCCATTTCTGTAAAGGGGAGAGAGCGGTCTTAAAACATGCGCAAACTGAATATAAAAACTTTTGAGTGTGACTGCAATGGCTTGTGGGAAATTTTGGCATAAGCAGTCCCACTGCACCAAGAGCTATTTTTACAGCAAATACTCAAGAGACAGAGGGAGAACAGAACTGGCTCTCAACTTTGATCGTCCCTCGTCGCGCTCAAAAGTACTTAATGTCTGTTTTTGGAGTTCATAAAATATTAGAGTAATTGAAAGCAGATGGAAATCGTGTTTAACACCAGTGCTAAGGACAACACGGGCTCTGTTTTTAAAATTGCAGAAGGGGGAGGAGGGATTTTGTGCTGGCATTTCAGAAGAACATTTCCTTTACAATGAAAACAATCTAACCAACTGCAGCACTCAGAGGAATCTACCTCCCCATCCCCCACAGCTCTCCTTCTACCCCCCCCGCCCCCCTCCCTCCCAGAACCATTACATTACCATATCAAAGCCCTGAGTTCAGAGCAAGTCTTCTCTTTCAAGAATGGGAGCGAAGGCACAGAGCGCGGAGAGAAGGGGGAGAGAGGAGAGGACAAGACCCAAGACTCTGGTTTAGCTTTTATCCTTTTTTCCAAAGTGCAGTGTGTATGTGAGAGCAGGGCAGGCACAAGTGAATGTTTATTAGCAAAGAGATACTACAAGACTACTGATAGGTTTGTGCGGTTGATGTTGTACCAATTCAGATTCCAGTGGGACAGAAGGGGCCTACGGGGGGTCTAGGGGGGCTCTGAAATGCCGGAGCAGGTACACACTCACTACAGATGGCCAGCACAAGCAGCAGCAGACATCTCTATATCTCAAAGTAGACATTTTCAACTCTGAATGCTTCGTTAACTCAACATCATACTGGACTATTTTTCAAGAGCGCCTCCCGACTGTACAAGTATGGACATTTTCTCTGGCTTGCCAGCAGGCTAAATGTGAAAATCAAAGTGAATGGCATTAGGGTAAATAAGACCACTGGTTGCCTGGGAAACAGTGTACCCAGCCCCACTCACTCAAGCCTAGCCTTTACTTTTGTCCAATCACTGGAGAGCTATAATACATTATTGACAGAGGGCCACAACAACAGGCAGGCAAGCAGCACAGCGTTTTCAAATTGTGTTTGAACAAGACAGGCTCTGTATTAGAGGAGATACACAGGGCGAGTGGTGATTGAGAGAACCCGCAATGTACCAACTAACGCGAAGCTAAAAGAGACTTGCAGAAGGGAGAGGATTCAAAAGGCTGCCCCATTCCCACTACCATAACTATCAATCTGCCAACCAGGCTGGGCCTCCTTTGAAATACTGGCAGAAAGCTGACTGGAATAACTAACAAGAGGCAAATAAGACACTTGTTTACCCTGAATAATTTAATGAGCAACTGCAAGTGATTGAATAAAAAATGCTTTTATGTTAGAGTCCTTACCCAACAGACTTAACTACGTTGCACTCACATGGCAGCACTGTATCACAGGGGATACAGGTAAAAGCCAGCTTTAACTGCAGCTGCTATAAATTGAATATGATTTACAATGTGTAACAAGTTGTAGCGTCTGCCTCAAGTTTCAAACAGCCTGATCTGCTAAAATTAGTTTCAGCTGGGCAGTGTAAAATCTGGACAGAGGGCATTCATAGGTGAACTCAAACAAACCATATTAAAACTGGCTATAAACTCTATTTCACAGACACTCAAGTTATTTACAATATGAAAAAAAAAGACAATAGAAGAAGGGTTATAATTGTTATATTGACACATCTAGGTATTTATGGTTCAGAGCCTGACAATTTTATTGTGAAAAAACAATATTATAATAATTCAGATCTAATTTTGAGACCTGGAAAATCCCTGTATAATGACTATAAATAACCAGAACATGTTCAAGAAGTTTTAGGTCTTAAAAAATATTGGTACCAGCCGTCATTTTCCAATCCTCTTTATTTTATTAATCAATAATACTAGCACAGTAGCCTAACTACAGTTTCATTATTCTGCTTCATAGGAGCATGTAATCCATCAGCCGAAACATTTTGTAAAGGTATATTTATAGTAAAAATACACTTAAGATTTCTGTAATCACAATAGTTCACTGATTCAGTTACCCTTGACCTGTACTGATCCGTTTGCTCTTGTAGCAGCTCAAAGACTGGAGCCATATATAATCTAAAATAAACATGTTTAAAATGTGTGCATAAACAAGAGCTTAATACAAAGTGTGATTGATACAGACTTAAATTCAATCACACCAACTGATCTTTTCTTAGTGTTCAATCAGTTCCAAACAGACCTGGCGATGTTCTGGTACGGATGTGCAGGTATGAACAAGAGGGCAGCTGATCTACTCCGCACATGCCCTGTACCGAGAACCTTTTTGGAAACTGCGAATAGGGCTTGCAATAAAATGATATCTGCACTTATGCACTTGGGGCAACTGTAAAGTTTTGATGGGTGCATAACACAAAGGAGTGCAGTGTGAACTCACCAGTCTTCTCTTTGATCTCGCAGAGTACACTGAATAGGGCTGGCTTCATCCTGTGACAGTTCAAGGCATGCTTCCTGTAAAGGAGATGGAGCGGTGAGAAAGGCACAGACTGAAAAGCTGTGCTCTACAGAGAAAAAGCTTTTTATGTTATCTTATGTAAAGTTGGGTAGAGGCACTTAATGTTTTATGGATGGAACCCAAGTCAAAACGAGTCTTTATTGTCCCTGCTTGATGACCTGCCAATGGATGCTGTCATAATGATGCTTTGCACTGGGGGACAGGTAATGACGCCAAACCTCAAGGTCATCATTACCGGGCAACACATTCTACAGTTAATACTCACTAATTTAATGTTTGCCCCTCTAGTAGAAACATTTGCTCCCTTCAAATAAATGATGTGCTCGTTGAGGGGATTATCTTTACATGTTAATTTGATAAGAAACATCCAGTTTATTGCCCTATTACAATAATGGGATTTTTCTTTTACACAACACAAACAGGATACATGCAGAGAATGAGAAGACTTTTCTGTTGATATGGTCGTCTATTATACTATTATTGAATAGAAATTTGGATGCTGTATTCTTGAGTTTTGATTTATGTATTTCACTATAAATGCTTGACATCCAGTTCTGAAGTTGACTATGAGTTCTTCCATGCAATCCCCCCCTTTGTGGGGCAGCCTGATGCCCCCCAGAGTGGTCCAGCATCAGAGCATATGGCAACAGGGTGGCAGGGAAGCGATGAAGTGTCCACAGTTTAAATCCCCATCAGTTTCTTTGGGAAATGTGGGGCCTGATAAGCATGCTTGACCAATGAAGAGAATATCCTGTGTGACAAATGTGAATCAGCAAGTCTGATTGATCAATTCTAGATCCTTATCCTATCAAGATGAGAAGATAATTACAAATAAAATTAATAGCTATTAGTTGTAAATAGTAAAACTGCTTAAAGCTACTTTATGAGTAAATCCTTGGTTAGGAGGGATTTCTAACGTCAGCAAAGAAGGCCCTGATCACAAAGTTCTGCTCATTAGATGTTTGGCAATGCGTTTGAATGAGGTGTCTTTCATATGACTCAGATTGTTATTGTTACTCAGTATGCTGTTTTGATTATTACAAACTTTTACTTTCAAAACAGGCAGTAAAAGTGTCCAGACACACAAAAAAGAGTTGGAGCGAGATTAAGACATAATTAAGAGATCAAAGTTGGGCAGAAAATGTAATATCCAGTGTTCATAGGCTGCCAGAATAGCATCATCCCTCCCCCTCAGCACCATCTCATTAATAGAAACTCGATTTGCGGACAGCTGCACTCGCGTACACATTATAGGAGAATTGATTGCACCCAGCACACAATGAAAAGGATGAACACCAGGGAGGGAGGGAGTGAAAGAGGAGTGAATTAATTAAGAGAACCAGGTGGTCAAATGTTGGGTGGAAAATCACTAGCTAATGACACATCACACTGTGGCCACAGTCTTGCACTGGACAGTTGTCTATTGTTGAAATATTGAGGCTTCTTCCCAAAATGACCTTATGCTCTTTGAGCCACATGGCAAATGAGCGCAGGTCATTTGCACACCGCGGCGCAAACTACGTAATAATTATTCCCAGGAAAATCTCATATGCAAAACCCAAGATGGACAAGTCTTGAATGATTGCTGTCATCGAAGAGAGAGTGGCTGAAAGAAAACATGAGACTAGAGTAACTCACCTTTAAATATATAACTAATTTCATAATTAAAAGGAAAGTTATAAACTTACCAATGACTATGAGTAATGCATAAACTAAAGTGACAAAAAACACTGTTCACTTTATAGATTATAAATAAGATATGCCACTCAAACGGGAAAAGTTAAAGTAAGTGAGAAAATGTGATTTGTGATTGGAGTACAAAACTTTCTTAGAGCAACTGTGATAAAGCTGTAATAACTGAACTTGTCAAATAAGGAGCCAGGCCCATGTGAAGTAACAAAGAGTCTTGTACAAACTGCACTGTTATGTTGCAGTTCAAGTTGTTCAGTCAACATACTGGTTTAACAGGGGATCAAAACAATATGATGCATTTATAAATGTACAATTACCAAAAGTCTCACATGGACCACGCATAAAACACAGTTCTTGTGCGTGAGACCACAAAACCAAAGTGCTTCTTTCGTAAGTAGAAAATGGCTCTCCTCACCTGGCCTGCGCTTCGTCCAGGCTCTCGTCCGTGATAGCCATTATTTGCTGTAGGATATCCCCAATGTCTTGTTGAGGCTGGCCAAGAGACTGTTTTCTGACCCCATCTGGATCACCGACATCGCCCTGTCCTAGTCCACTGAGTCCGGTCAATCCCGTCAGCATTCTGGTCTGGTCATCCATACTTTCAAAGAAAACTCGCCGTTTTCTTCAGTCGAAGAAAAAACGCAAATAGCTAGCTTACGAGCTAGCCAGCAAAGTAGTTACTACAGCCAATCATACACCACAGACAGAGTCTCCTGGCCGTAATACGCATCAAAACGCTAAAGAAACGATCATAAAACAAATGACATAAAGTGGCTTTACATTAGCCTGTGGTATTATAATGGAAGCCACTAGGCTAACACAAGCTAACAGCGAGCGGCAGCGGCTAGGCTGAGAGTAGCTCTAGCCCCGCAGAGGAGAGGCAGCAGAGACGCACATGCACGGACTGTACAAGCTCACCCACAGCTCCACACACATCTTCAGAAACGATGTGAACACGGAAAAATACTTCTCCTGTAATAACACGAGAATAAACGAGTCGCTGCAAACATGGAAGAGTTTTCGGGCCGCCTAGCCCCAACAAAGACGCTCCTACCAAAACACAGTACGGTTTGCCATTGTTGTTGATGTCGCGGGAGTATGTGGGATGTACTGAGCTGCGATGACCATTGAACTCATAGCAGCAGAGCGCAGGTCTGCGGGTGGGTGGACCATCAAGATGACTGGGCTGTACAGATACAATCCGACCGACATCCACAGAAGGAAATAAGACGTTTATTGCAGATTTAATACGAGTTATCTTGTCGTTTTCTTAGCATATTCTCAGGTGCGCTCCTCCTGCCCAGCATTTATTGGTAACACCTCCCTGCGTCACCAGCTCTGTCTTTCATATTAATAACTTACAGTGGGCTGGCTGAAATAGTATTGTTTAATTTCTAACTGGCCGAAGTCAAGTTGATATGAACGATGATGTGCACATTATCCATTTTCAAACGATGAGGACAATTTGTGTAATTAATGTCTATGTTCATTTCTTTAGATTTTACAATAGTGTGACTTGACATAGTTAGAATCATGTTCAAGTTATCTTGACAACCCCTCAAACTATTGCAAATCAAGGAAAGACACCAGCTTCCTCATTGTTATAGAGACTACTATGAGCAATCAACCATCTCTGAAAGCAAGCAAAGGGCTGTTTAAAGTCATTAGTTTGTAATGGATTTATTGCTACCCCACACAGATGCAGATAATGTCATAAGATAACAATAAAGTTTACATCATTCATTGACTCTCACTAGTGCCTCTGGGTTGGTTCAAGCCCATGTTTTACTATGCATTTTACCACCATAATAAAGCGCCTTATGCATACACATTAATACATGCATAATAAGTACATAGCTAAAGCAGTTTAGGATTTGGACTCTGCTGAAAAAAGTTGGCCTTATGCTGTGCTCTCAATCCCTTTATGAATGAAACATCCCATCAGTTTTCAGTATGAAAATGTTGACAGCACAGATTGAAAACAAGTGTCCTTGTTTTTTGCAAACTGGGCAATTCCGCAGTTGTTTATCACTCAGATCAGAGAGACAGCTTTCCAAGACGAATGGCTGGATGGATGGATGTGGAGGAGAGCAGCAGCCTAGTGTTCCTGTACTGAGGAGAGATGATGGGTGTGCATGAGGGGGTACGACTAAACTGGCACTGGTTTATGCTGACTCTCCTCACATCCATCTACTACAATCTGGAGCTAATCAATCTAAAGTTAGGGACAACAGGAATAAAGTATGGCTACAGTAAACCCAAACAGTAATTGTTTCCTGCATGTCTGAATAAAAGAATTTTACGATTTGTAGTTGTTAGTAGGGGCAATTTTCCCACTTCAAGCCTTTGTATTGTGACAAACACATCAAATAAAACACATTTGCATGACACCAAACCAGATGTGCTTATGTTACATTTAACAGGGCACACTTTGGTCTGTTGAAGCATGCAAGGTGTCCCTTTCTCATACAATTACATGCTAAACTGCTGGTTACCATATCACCCCAAGGGCATTATCAAGTCAAGAGTTCTTCCTAAAAGTGAAAAAGTGTCATTGGTTTTCAAAACTTCTTAAGGTTTTATTGTCAGTGATTCATTTAAGGGTCATCTGTGAAACTTCTTTTCATTTAGATGCAAAGGCTGCCCTCTTCTCACCTCACGAGCATCAAGCCTCATTTTCATCTAAATAAGAATCGATCTCTCCTGCTGGGCTCCATCCTCCCTTTACTCACAACTCACATGGTCATAACCCCACTTGTCTTCTCTTTGCTGGTCCCTATAGCCCCTAGTAATCCCTGCATTGATGAACATACCCATATATGTATCATTACACATAGATAGAATTTTGAAATTCAGCACTCATTGTATATGTCTATTATTTATCACTTTCAATTTCTGATTTTATGCAGATACTAGTAGTATTATTCATTTTGCAATTAGAAGTATAGTTTAATCTCTTATTTCTGAATCCTGACTTTGATATGGACCCCTCCAGCTGTAAAACACATGGGGAAACAAATGGTGTATAATATAAATGAGTGAATGGTTCCAGAAAGAGACAGAAATGATAACAAACAAAGCTTTTGAGTGACTGGTACAATGTCAAAGCTTCGTTCTGCATCAGTGCTCCAGCCAAACGCGAGATGGGGGTGAGTCACAGTGGGGGAGGGGCCTTCTCCTCAATGGTCAGGGGACACCGCTGAAGTGAAATAGATGAGACACAAAACGGCAAATGTGACTGAAGATGAGCGAGGAGAGCACTGAATTAAATGATAGCTAAATTATACTGTGTACTGGTTTTATTTATGGCAGTTTTATAGAGCCGGTGAACAATGCAGATCTATTGTTACACACTAAGATAGACAAGTGAAAAGAGAGGAAGTAATAAGAAAGGTATCATTGTGTATCAAAATATAAATTTGTAATTAGTATGATGCATACTAAATGCATAAGTGCAAATGATGCGTTATGCAATGCCATAACGTATCATCTTATTTTTTAATTGTTCTAATTATTAAGAGTTGGTATAAAGTCGATGTATTTGACAGGTTCATAGTGATTTTTAAAGATATAAAAATGAAATCAGAAAAGGCTACCAACGTTTTTCATATTTTGTACAGCCAACAGCTGCCACCTGGTGTTGGTCGCTGGGATAAATCAGAGGGAAAGCAAGTCACATGAACCGCTCATATAAAAGGTGTTTTATTTCACCAGGTATACATATATTTAAAACAGACTTTAAAAATGCAAGGTAAAAATAGTGTGTAAGTAGATAATAAAAGGTTCCAGAGGCTGTGGTCCATTGATTATTGGTTCCAGGCTACTGCACAGCAGAAGCCAAAGGTTGTGTGATTAGGTTCTTGACCAGGTCAGATGAAAGCTCAAGCAATCCAGACTCAGCAGCTGTTTCAAAATGTTTACACATTAATATACTGTATGTGTATATATTATTATCAATAACTTACCCAATAACCCACTGGTCTCTTTCACTACTAACTGTGATTGGTCTCGAATAGAAAGAAGAGTTTTTACCATTTTGCACTGAGAATCCATCTGCAAGTAAAAAAACAAAATTATTTATAATAATTAGATGTCATAATCAGAATGTTCTTACAATAACGGTCATGGTGCGAAGCCTGGGTAGCTGTCGGCTGAGGACAAGTTTATAGTCTGGTTTGGTCATGATGACTTCATTTTGTGACGAATGTTGTGCCAGGGACGCAGAGTCAAGTGTGATGCCTCTTTCTTGTCCTTTTTGTATCTTCCTAAAAAGAAATGTAATTTTTTTTTAGCATTATTCATTATTTGATAGGGACTACAAATGCCCCAAGGCAGGTAGCATAATCACACAACATTACATACATGGAGCAATCAAAAGTGAAAGTCTTCATAGACTAATATAATGTGGGAAATTATATCAAACTAGAAAACCAATAAAAGGGTAGACCTCCACAAGAGGTCCATTCCTTAAAAATACCTAGATCCAGACAATGATTGGGAATGCCTCAAAGATCAATTTTTTTCCTTGTCCCATTTCTGGGCTTTTCTGAAAAGTGTCAAAACCTGCCAATTACAATTACAGACAAACTAACATTACCCTCTGGCTGAGGCAATACATTTAAAGTCTGACACATTTGCACAAATAACAGGAAATAGCTCTATGGCCTCTATGGAAACAGCATGTTTCTGTCATTAAGAAGCATCTCATCATTGAACCGTTTACCTTTCCAATTTCTCTGCTTCATCTCTGTGTTTAGTCAGCAATGCTTCCCAAGATTCCTTTTCAATTTTGAGTCTGAAATAAAAAAAAATGTTTTTGACAAAAAGCACCTAAACACAGGACACTTAATTATTGGATTAATATTACCTGTGGATAGCCTTCTTAATTTTTTCCTCATCTTCTTTAACTGAAGAATCAGCAGGACTAGAAAAGGAATCGCAAATATGTTTTTTACAATAAAGTGCCTGTTTAACATTTTAAAAAGTAACATTATGCTTACGAAGCTGCAGTGGCATCAGACTGAGATTCACTCCGTATAGTTTTTGCCAGACAAGTCCATTCTTTGTGCATTTGATCAACTACAGATGCAGGGAAAGTAATTAACAACAATTGTAACTAAATGGTAAAGTATTGTGAGAATACAGACCTTTACTTTGAAAAGACTCGATGGAAGAATGCGGTGCTGTCTGAAGCGATGACATGGTTCGATCAAGTGTCATCTATAACAAATCAATTCAGTAAAAATGTCATGTTATTGAGCAACTGCCGCACAGTAACCCTCTTAAAAAAACCTATGCCCCAGTTTTTCTATTATAGAGCATGTTTATATGTGTCTGGGTGGGTTCCCAGTTTACATACATTTATTTGACCCAGTTCGAATGGTCAATTAAATGTAAAAAGTTTATTATGTATTCTTTAATGTTTACAGCTTAGAAGACTTGTGTTTCGACGGTAGACTTCCGCCTTCATCAGAGGCGAAGCTGATGTTGTAACATGTCTCTTATCAGGTGTTACGTGAGGAAATTGAAATCAGGAAGCGGGGCGCACGGACCATCAACAGAGAAGAGGGGGCTTACACCTTGGCTCCCACTCGGGACTCACTTCTTCAGCGACAACAGCGCGGTGGGGGCGTGGTCAGACTGACCGCAACCGGTAACAAGAGTTGACTAGTGACTAGGAGTGTGACAATATATCAATAAGGTGATGTATCGTGATACTTTCTCACGCAATCGATTATCGATATGCTTTTGCTAAGAATCGATTCATTACATCAATGGCGTATTTCACAAAGAGATTTGCCCAAAGAAATAATAAACCTCACAAACACTTACCTTCATTGATGCCTCCATTAACTTTTCCAATCTTTCAGTCTGTGACAAAGATGTACATATGCTTCTGCAAAGAACTGCATCCACAAACACACATTTGAATATAATACATTGACACACCAATACTGTTCTACGTAGGGACGCAAATTATATTTGATCTAAATTTGACCCTGCTAAAACTGAAGCTAATTAGCTCGCTATTCTTCTATTCTCCAATATAGAAGAAAATAAAAAGTCTGAATTTGTTAGTTACAAGATCATATCATATGGGCTGATCACATTTGCAAAATATTTAAGTTAAAATTGTCACACAAAAAGAAGCATTTAGTTATAAAACAAATTACTTTAAGGATAATAAAAAGGTCCGAAAAATATGTTATTAATGATTAATGCAAAAATCTGCTTCACAATGTCAATGTGATGGTATTGGTCGATTCAAAACAATTGGTGATTAGCTTCAAAAATCCTGATCGGTGGACTTAGATGTGTTTGAGACAATAGTTTTCAGACAATACTCATTTAGTGACTGACATAGCAGTTGTCTAAATATTTACAATGGCTGAATGTCCCAGTTTAATGACAATGGCTTACATTTAAAACTCCAATCAATCTTGGCATAGTATGTAGTAGAACATTCAATGAAAAGCAAATCCTCCTTGGATGAGACAGGAGGTGGTGGACCTTCCATGATAATGCATCATCCTGGTCTACTCACCCTGATAGGGGTTGGGGAGTGCCGGGAGAGAGCGGCGGGTGATGGTGGCTCTCCTCCAGGACTTGCGTCTGTCTGGAGGACTCGGAGGACATGTTTGAGTGTCTGTGTTTTCGCTCTCCAGCTCTTGAGCCTCGGCCTCTGTCCGTTCTTCGGTCTCTGGCGATGGGAAGTCGGTGCGCGGTGATTTGGGCGAAGGAGCAATATTTTCGGAGGAACATCGTTTGTTCGATCGTGTTTCCGAATCCGATACAAGAACACACTTCATGTTTACGCTGTTTCTTACCTCCGCTTCCAGCGGAGGTTCACGTACGTCACTTGGAACGATACTGGAAAATACAAGCAATGCTTTCACTCTGAGTCACACAAGCATACAATATGATACAGATCTAATTCAATTAAAGAATGAAGCGATTTAGAAACACAAACCTGTTTTCTTCTGATTCCGAATGTATTTCCGCCATGTTTGTTTCAAATAATACGTCACAGCCCGCTCAACTGATCCGTTCAGGAAGTGATGCACCACGGGAAATGTAGTTCCAAGTGTCCAACAGGGATGGACCAGACTGTATAAGGATGGACCCATGGGATGTACCAGACAGTCTACTACGCCGATATGAACGTCCTGAGATCTTTATGGGTACGTCTAAAAAAGATCTATGGTCAAAACTTAGTGACATTAGAGTGCCATAAAAGACGCGAAGGGAGTATACAGCACACCAGGATCATATAAAGTGTGCAATCACGAAAGTCATCACCAGATGTCGCCAAATGACTTATATTGGGCTGCAAAAAATGAAATGGCAGACTAGCCCACTCCCAAACTGATGTGTTGGAGCAACCTCAATTTTATCATGTAAATGTTGTAGCTCAGTCAATTATTCATAACCAAGAATCATGTAAAATTATTTAAAACATCACTTAGAAATTATTGATACAGTTTTATTCAAATATTATATTTGCGTCTTGTTTGTTTTTGGTTTCAAATGTCCAGTCACGTCATTATCGTCCCATGACCTGTCATTGAAAAAGGGCTGTTTGTGAAGTTTTTCCTCCCAGTCATTTGGCTGCATGTCTTTATTACAAAATACATAAAAAGACTCACGTCAAGAGTCAAGTCTGTTAAGATATTTTCTTTACAAAAAAATGGGAAGAATAAGAATCAGTTAAGTCAAAAACACACAACACTTTGCAGTTCTTTTCAGAGCTCCTTTGTGCAACCTGTGTTTCATTCTACCTGGCACAACCAATACTCAATACTGCTGTTTTCTTGATTATTTAGCAGTAGGTGGACAGAAAATGAAGTATAGAAAATATAAGTTAATATTAACTATTTCAAGGAGATAATTAAATTACACAAAGAAAATGTAAAGAGTAGCTAGAATATAAGAGGGGAATGAGAGTGTCCCAGCTGTCGGTCAGGATCCCCAAATCCAGCATATTTTTTCTCTTTTACAGTCTGGTTCATAAGGGCAGCGGTTGCTGTTGGCACCAAGTTCAAGAAGGCAGTCTGAGAGTTCCTTTTCCCAAGAAGAACTGAAGCAGACGGTCCACCAGCAGAGCAGCCACAAAGTCCACAACCAGCACCTGGGCGATGATGAACTTAAACTGCAGGAAAGAAACCAGATTGGTCAGTGTAAAGCAAATGCTTTTTTTCCCCCCGTCACACTGCTACACTGCTGCACTGCTGCGTCATATTGACTATGCTTTAATGTCACCCATAGTGTATAGGCACACTCTGATTCACTGCATTTAAACAAAACATAATTTACGAGTTGATGAAATCACATTTTACCAGTGGTTAATTATCAGAAATTCTGTTAATTAACCACTGGTAAAATGTGATTCAGAATAAATCCACTGATGAACAAAAGTAGCAGGTGAAGGCTAAATTAGCCACTACACGCTTGCGTATTTCACTACACACTTGCGTATTTCTACATCGTTTAAACGTTCTGTAATCTGTTCTCACACAATTTGTCAAATGAACACCATTCTTCATGCATCATCATCTTTTAATAAATGTCCTTACTGGGAAAGTATTTAGAATAATGGTCATGAAAATCCTGTATAATGATAGCCTGGTCTTATCATACCATCATACCCATTACATTTCGTACATGTAGGGAAATAATTGACCGGAGTTTACGGATGGCTAAGGCCAGGCTTGTGTAACGAATGATAAAATGAAAAAAACATGATCGCAGTTTTTAAATGATTGCGAATTAGTTCCTATAGGCCTAAAGACATTCCAATATTTCCTCTTATCACGCGGTCTAAGTTTTAAGAGGCATTTACATTTGAAAACGATGGTATTAGCATGAGTCTAGTGTGTGTGAATGGTTGGTGGCGATTGGAGGGGCCCATGGCACATACTTGTTGCCTCGCTTCTGTCAGTGTGGCTGTATGGAGTGAATGAATAATGGACACGCGAAGTCCAAAAAAGCGCTATAAAAAAACCAATGCATCATCATCATAATCATATCCATCATTGGTGTGAGCAGCCGTTACATGAGGAACGGCTAACATATATAGTTTACATAGAGAGCTGCTGGCACTGACAATATAGCACAAGGGTCTAAAAACACAGGTCGAGCGTGAAAATGGCTTTGGATTGGAATATGCACATGAAAGAAGACTACAGACCTCTGTTGGAATATCCACCAGAGCAAACTGTTCATTGAATTCAGGAGAAGATCCAGATAAAAGTCCTACAATGGCCAAACCAGAGAGAGCAATACTCCAGAGTAAAGGGCGGTTCTCACTAAGAGACTCCATGAAGGGGTGACCCTGTCAGAAGAGGGAGATGTTGACCTTCAAATAGGTAATAAAAGACACAATTTTATTCAGTATCAAATGCGTACCTTATAATTTATAGCAAAGGTGGCCATCTGCATGGCCATGGACATGATGTAGACAGTGCTGTTGATTAGGCTAGGCTCAAACTCTTTGTACAGATCTGCAAACTGCTCCATTCTGAAAGTAACAATAATGGTTATACAATATCTATTTTGTGAATGGAAGGTGGAAGCATGCATTTAAATAACATTGATATTTCACCTGGGTGGGCTTCTGCTCTGTGCTTCTCTATATAGATAAACAAGGCTGCAGAAATGAACTGCGAACTGCAGTAACACAGTCAACACTGTGTAAAAATTGAAAATGTTTGGCAATGGACGCTCTCGAGACAATGTTTTTAGAGGCTGTAATAAGACATTTGCACTCATTATAATACATATACAAACACACACACAAGATAATTATATTATATTACCTTTGATCTTGAAATAAAAAGAAAGCATCCGGCTAACAACAGACCCTGCAGAGTGGCCTGGAAATCACTAAACTTGACTCCTTCAAGGTAAAGCACAGATTGACTGTAAGCCAGAACCAAGGCATTTAGAGCAAGGATCTTGAACATCTGTAAGGTGGTCACTAATGTGCAACGTCCTTGTTTTATGACATGGCAAACTGTAAATAATACATTTATCAATTACCAATAAATCACATGATTAGAAATGTAGACATCTATAATACTCACTGCACTGAATGGAAGAAAGTTTGGATGTGAAGGGAGCAGCGATAGATGCATCTCCGAGCTTCACCACTTGTACTTGATCCTCTTCCAGCTCTCTCAAAACCTGACTGATTCTCTCCTTAATAACAATTTAAATTCCATCATTTTTATTGTTGCACCTAGACCTTTTCAGTGACAGTGCAAAGAAGTGTATACCTTTTGTGCTGCCAACTGCTCCTCTCTTTGAGCCATTACTCTCTGCCTGGCGGCTCTGGAGCTGAGTTTCCCTCCTGAAGCAACAGGCGGAGCTGGTCTGGTTTCTGCTGGTGGTGTGTCTTTTTCCCGTCCTCTCCTCTTTTTGTCAGGTATACGTTCAGGGGCATTAGCCAATAAAGCTACACCTAAAAAATAAAATAAAAATACAGTTTTAGATTGTAGCATAGTCCCATTTTTGAATGAACAGTATTTGTATAATTGGTACCTATGTGGGCGTGCTTGAGCGCCCCGACATCATTAGTGCCATCCCCACACATAAGTGTCACATAGCCAAGGCCCTTGAGGCTGGTGATGACGAGCTCCTGTAGAAAAAAAGTATAGTACCAAAGTCTATATTGACTATTGTCGCAATACTAACATTTCACACTCAACTTCATTACTAATGAATAGATTCGATACAAAAGGTCAATACCATCTTGAGATACTTTTTTGAGATGTTTTACACACAAAAAATCCCACAGTTCTCTGAGAGTTCCAACATATAAAGCAGTGGAAACAGGGAGCAGCTGGTATCCTAGCTCCTGGTATCAACGGTGGTCATGAACAAATCAATAAACAAAACATCCAAAAAGAAGACAAATATCCAGACAAATTATTTAATAATACTCACTCAATTGAGTATGGTATCCTGTTTCACTAATAGTTTTATTATCGATTAATATAAAGAAAAGATAAGATCAACTTACAATAAAATCTGATCTTTCTATCTTTACAATAGCTGATTCTTTTGACAACCTCAATATAGGCAGTGGCAAAACACTTGAATTTCCTGACAAACCTTCTGTTTAGGACTGACGCGGGCGAAGACTTGTATATGAGGTAAGAGGGCATGTAGTAAGCGTAGCTCTTGGCTCAGTCTGTTCAGTCCCTCCCCAGTTACACAAAGATCAAACGTTTGCACAAATGAAGAAACGGAGGGAGGCTGCAATGGCATAGAGACAGTGCCATCAATGGATTCCCACTGCCAATTACCTGGAACAATACAACCCAACAATGTGACAATGGCCATACAGAATTTTTAAAATGTGTGGTTGTTAACAAAGATTGAAAAAAACTAAAAAACTAAAGAAATCATACTTTGTCCAGGGATCTGCTGTAGTACCAGGGTGTGTTGTTTTTGAATAAAATGCAACTCTCTTGCAACATGGCACGCGGTTAAGGGATTGTCTCCAGTTATCATTACAACCTGCCAGAAAACATTTAAATTATTTCCGTAATTAATGGATATAAAAGTTGTGGTTGAAAGTTTACACACTCAGGCAAAAATGGTTTATCTTTGCAATATTTCCAAAGAATCCAAAGATTTTGGATGCTAACACATTCATTCACTTGTTATAGTGATTCTTTAAAGCAATTTCACTTCAGATTTTCCATTTTTTTATTATAATCATAGCATACTGCACAACCTACTCAAATTAACCTGATTGCATAAATGACAGTTTGGAGTTTTTTGCGGTAGTTGTGGATAAGGTTCTTTATCCTCTGGGGGTAAAAATGTCCACTCTCCGAGCCTCCAGTCATCTGCCAATTCCTGGGCCGCCTTGGTAAAAGTTAATTTTTTAGATGTCCCCAGAGCGGCTCAATGATGTTATAATTTGAAATATAAAATAAATAAATTGCTTAAACATAACCACTTACAATTTGTTATCATTTCACAATCTCCAAAATATGGCCAAACAAATGAAAATATTGTTCTGGTGTGTGACCTTTCAACCATAACTGTAATTGAAAGAATATGAAAAATAAATTACGTGATGAGAAGCTTCTTGGATCTCTCTGATGACGGCTTTACTGTCAGTCTTGAGTGGACAGGAGACAACCATAAACCCAGCAAAATGTAAATTACATTCCAGTGCATCACGCCCCATTTCTCGAACCTGTCACAAAGTGATTTCATCAATATGGCATAATTCATATTCATAAGATATACCAGTTTCTTCAAAGTTTTACCTGCTGATGACTGAGATGTCCAATCTCTTTGTAACCCAGTGCCAGAACTCTGGCTCCTTCTCGTGACATTTCTTTGTGGACTTCATCATAAGTGGCTGGACACTGTGAAAACTGCAACAATACCAAAATGTTTTACCATTTACAGTTCCAGGAGGGAAAAGGAACTGGTGAATGTATATATTCTAGGGCTGTCAAAATTATCGCGTTAATTCACGTTAATTACCGTTTTCATTAACGCGTTAAAACATATTTAACGCATTAACATTCCCGCTATTTTCACGTTCCCAGATGTCCATTGTATCAAATATGTAAGGCTTGAGGCAATATTTTATCGAGCCAGCAGATGGCAGCATTGCTCTATGAATGGTTTGAAAACGGCTAGATGCACATGTGCCTCTTTTTTCTCAGTTTTCTGGTGATTTCAATCAAACTTACCTCTACTCGACTGGGGATTACAGGGGAACGAAACAAGCTCCAAACAAAATAATTTTTGCTGATAAAAGTAGACAGTCCATTCTTTCAGAATCTGGTTTTGGATTTTAGATAGTCATAGTACACAATATTCTGTGGGTCTTAAATTCTGTAAAAATCATCAGAAACGGCTGGCAATATGGGAGTACCTGTTCTGAAATAGGCTGGCAGTCAATCGCATGTCCGAATGACCCGCCCATTTATAATAATATCACTCAGAATGCCACGGACACGTGCGTGTGTGTGATGGTGACAGCGGTAACGTGGTCATATAATACACATATATATACACGCACAGGGGCCATTCTTTGATGTTGTGTGACACACGGAGGAGAGGAGGAGACACGCTGAAATTTAACCAAACTCGCAAAATTAAAGCTGGGGTACCTACATTTTCCCTTTCATTAACAGCTCTTGTTGGTTGTAACCAAAAGTAGAAGGTTGTGAGCAAGTCAAACAGATTTAAGTACATTTGGTATGAATAAAAATGTGTCATTACATTTGAAAATCTCATTTAACTTCAACTGGAGTGGATTTGAAATAGAATGTTAAAAATGCGATTAATCGTGAGTAAACTCACCATTACTATGCAATTAATCAACAAAAAAAAATTAATCGTTTGATAGCCCTAATATATTCCAAAGATTACCATTGCTCTGAGGGTTTCCGGAGCTCCTTTGACCGTGGAAATGTAGCAGAGTTCAGTAGATCCTAGTTTCTCATAGGAGGCCAGCACTGACATTCTCTTCAGGGCACTGGCAAAGTGAAAGCGCTGGTGAATCTTCAGCCCTGGTGTTTTGATTCCACGAGCAAATACCTTTTCATCTAGAAGAAAATAAGGAAATTTGTCACAGATTGATTATTCCTTTAAAATGGGTAACTCAAACTAGATTTAGGATGTACAAAGATAATAGCATCTGTGTTACCCTTGGTGAGGGTCCAATCCGCAGCCGTAAGCATGGCCTTTTCCAGTGGATCTCCAACCAGCTGCCCATCGTCGAGAGTGACCAGGGAATGACACGTGGCCACCACTCTGTGAGTCTCAACAGGGATCTCCGACACTGGCATCACCTCCTTTCCCTCTCTATTATACACAAAAACATATGAATACCAAAATAGACTAGAAGGGAATTTTAACAAATGTTCAGCACTTACTTGAGGCCTGCTACCCCTCGCACCACCAGACTATCACTAGTTAGTGTTCCCGTTTTATCAAAGCAACATACTTCAACTTTCCCAGCAAAAGGTATTCTGAACGGTTCGGTACAAAACACATCTAAAATAAAATAAAAAGGAGGAAACCTGTTATAGAAATAAAATACAGAGTGAATGCCAAAAGCGTAGAGCAGAACAATGACCTACATAGTTTAGCTAAAGCTATCAGAGAAGTGTTGACAGCTAAGGACAGCTCAATGGGGAGTTCAGGTGGAACCACCGAAGTGAGGATCAGTGTGCATTCCAAAAACAGTTTGTAACGGTTTCTGCTGGGATCCTTGGTGCCTAAAAACAGATAGTGTCTCAATATTTAGAGGGGTATTTATAGAAAGGCCTGATAGTGTTTTACAGAGCTTACCTTCTACCCACACATACGCAGCTGCAGCGATAGCAAACACCAGCAGAAAGAGGATGAAGATAAAAGTCTCTAGGTTATTTGCGGTGACTCTTTTGACTCCAAACAAGATGGTCCGTAAAAGTTTTCCCTGAACAGAAACCATTGGATACATTCAAAGAAATGCACTTATAGGCTCATTCTAAATCTGCTCTAAACCTGCACCTGTGATGTGTAAAATCCAGTTCTCAGTACATAGGCCACACATCCATTGTCAACAGCTGCAAAAAGCAAATGAGCAAAAGCAAAGTTAAAGCTCATAGAAATGATATTTTGTTTAATAGTAATACATATAAAAAGAATAATATAATACGTTTGAGCCCCGCAGTAGCTTTCAATGGTGGGGTATGCTGTACCACTTTTGTTCCTCCTGAGATTATGTGAAGTCGAGAGTCAGTTTGGAGATCTAAGATTTTCTCTGGGTCCAAGTCTTCAATGGGCTCCTGAAAACATACACTGGTTTGATCCAAAGTGTGTAGATACAACACAGATCATGTTTAGTTTCACAAACCTTCATTTGTGGCACTGATTCTCCTGTCAGCATGGCCTCGTCCACAATACAACGTCCTCTTAAGAGCAGAACATCACAGGGAACCAAATTGTCCTGCGGCGACCTCCCTATATTTCATATATAGTATTAATACTATAAAAATGTTTAGAACTAAATATCTGTACACTGACCTATTGAGACTATATCACCAGGCACAAGGTCATCACTTGAAATTGGCCTCCACTTTCTATTACGGTAAACCTGAAATGAGACAATGGCTTTCAATACTTTTGTTCATTTAGGTCAAGGCCCGGGGGCCAGATCCGGCCCACGAGACAATTTCCAGTGGCCCCTGAGACGAATTTTAATTCTTAGATTAAATAGCAGCCTTGATGGTAATAGGCGACAATGGCATGTTATTCATTACTAATTTTCTCAAGAAAACAACCATAACATTTAATTCCATAAGAAATGTTAGGCAAACATGTAATTAGAAGTTAGTATTGTTATGGTTTTCTTTTTAAGAGTGTTCAATTACATTTCTTCTCAAAGATATGAAGGAGGAGTTCCCAATTTTCTTAGGAAAGAACTACCCTCTCCACCTTTTGAACAAATCTCTCTGGTCTTATTTGACAAGCACAAATCACCAGAACGATTGACAGTTGGGAGGACCAATAGTCTTGATGATCCACCCGAAAATCTTCCTATATACCTTCAATATTTGGTCAGTGTTTGCATGAGACAGGCTTTCCATTAGGACCTAAACCTATTGTCCCTGCAGTGGCCAATAGAGTACAATGTCACATAATGACAGCACTTTAAGTGAATACTGGAGATGTGAAAGAACAACACAAATTTATGACAATCCGCCAGTTCACACTTTGAAAATTGCAAATTCACACGAAACAAGTGGCATACAAGGCAATACAAAACACACACTCAGTCAGTCAGTCAAGACACAGGCCCAATCACTGGGCTTACACCAGTCTCCCATCACCATCTACATGCTTCTTGGTACTTATAGTTTGAAGCCTTTTAAATGAACAAGCATGTCCTGAACATGCCTTCAAGTCCTCTGCCAATCCGTTCTAAAATGGTTAAATCCATGCACTGCAATACAATTCGATTTAAAGAAATGTAGTATTGTTTTTGTTATTCCCTGTCTGTATTAGAGGTGACCGTCGTTATCTTGGAATAGGTTTTGTAAGATAGAGAGAATAGTTTCCAGGTCCCCTAAAAAATATTCGAGCATTTTAAAAGTTGATAAAGTCTATGAACAGATGGTTTCAAGGTATTTTACAGGACATTCAATACAATTCATATTTAAAGGTTGCAAGTGGTTATGAGGTGTAAGCATGTGTAAATGCAGAGTGATAACACAGGCCTTCAGTTCAATTCAGAAAACTTATCTTACCTGAATCATGTAGGGCTTGTTTCCCATGCGTCGTATTTCAGACATATTTCTCATTTGCTGTTGAACCAAAGAAGCCTCAAATGCCACCAACATGAACAATGTGAAAACACTGTAGTACCAGTACTCATCCAGACACCAAAGTCCCACACAAAACACCTGTTAATTAAATAAGAATGTCAGATATGCTTCATTAAAACCAAAATGTAATAAACCTGTACCTGAAAAACAAAGAATGGGGCTGTTGCTCTTTCTTTAAATAGTTCCAGAAAATCTGGAACCATCATCTCTGCCTTGTTGGTCCCATACTGTTTTTCTGCTGCCCGAAGATCAGACTCTTCTTGGTACCCACGCCAGGACTGGAAGTGGCCCATGGAATGGTTGATAGGAAATGCTATGGGGAGAAAGCATTTCTTCTCTTTGTCATCAAACGTGTAGCGGATTTTTTGAAACTCAAAGGCCAGAATCTCCTCCCCATTTTCATCCTGTTAAAATAAATAATAGTCGAGTAGGTATGCTTTTTTCATCTTCTAATACAGTGCCTTTATGGAACAGTCCTTCAACACATACACATCTGTATGAATGCATAACAAATGTTTACTTTGACTTTATCAATTAAAAGAATACATCTATTTTGTTTCATTTTGGGAAAATATTTCAACAAGGAGAAGAGGAACGTGAACTGACCTGGTCCCGCTGTAGCGCCACAAGCTCAGCTGAACCATTGTTAGGAGTAGGAATGACCTTTGCAAGTGTGGCCTTTTCAGGGTCTGGTTCCTGTGGAGAAAAACAGGTGGCATTATTCACACACAAACTCCTGTTTATGGTGTCTGTATGTTTGTTCTATTCCACTTGAATGTATATAAAAAACAAATCTATAACATCACAATATGAATGAATGATTTCTAGAATAACATTTCCAATGATATTGATTCTGGAGATTAGATGAAGAAAACACCAAATCATGCCTTTTAACCATGTGGTGTTGGTAAACAAACTATAGGAAAGCCTTGAGCAGAATTATTGCAATACATGATATGATGTGTGTTACCTTTGAACATGTGAGCCAGCAGTGCGCGTGCACGGACCAATAACCAGACAGCGCGGTGAGGACGTGCGCGATCCCGATGGCCGCTAGAGCCAGGAGGCCTGCCTCCGGATACTCGTCTGCCCCGTACACCGCCAACCACACGTACAGCCAGCCGGGGTACAAGAAGGCCAGGAATGGGAGCACAGTGCCGTGTAGAAAGCGCGGTTTGCGCCGATAAAGCGTCACGGAGCTCACCAGGTCGTCCCCGGGGGCGCTGTCATGCTGGCTGTGGTTTACAGAGGGGGCCATTTGTGCCTCACCCGGGTCCAAGAGCCCATCTGCGTTTGCTGTCGCGGCTTTCTTCACGTCGTTCATGGCTCTCTACCCTCTCCCCGGCCCCTTCTGTCCTCCGCCACTGCACCGGCCCCTGCAGCCTTTAAACACACATAAAACGAAGCAGATCCAGGTCGAGCTTTCAGGTTTCCTTCACTGAATCCTGAATCGCTCTATTTCACTTCCGCATACGTAATCACGTTATGGTAGCAATGACGTATGGTGAATCAAACTAGTTTGTTGCAAATTTGAAAAAAAAAATGTTTTAATGGATTTTATAACATGGGTGATTGAAACATAAAAGCACCTCAGAGACAATCTTTTAGGCAATTAATCTGTATTAGAACGTACATATCCCTTTAAGCCTCACTGTTGATGAGGCGTGTTTAAGCTTGACAGACATATACTGATCCAATCAGGTGTAACACTTCTGTCACGTTCATCAGTTTCAGCCCAATAGATCCATGGTTTCAGCAAATCATCAGGAAGAGGGGCGGTAGCGGTAGTAAAGCTCACCCTTCTCTCACATGCAGCTGAAGGACTACTGCATGGATCTTATATCATATTTTATTATCATCAGACTCCTTACATTTTGATTTTTAAGCACACGGAATATGTAAGAACATTATGTTTGTAGTTCCCTTTCAATTACCTTGGTCAGATTCGTGTGTTAATCGACATGAAACGTGCATGTTTACACTCAATGAAAATTTGCCTTTGTGAGTCGCCCTGTTTTAAAATATGACAATTTTTTGTAACTAATTTTCTTTATTCGTTTTTTTTCAGGCAGGCGGCTTTTAATATCACTACTAAATATTGCCATAAGGAGATGGAGGCATACGGGTCCTGTGTGGCGTCAAATCCATCATCCTGGCAGCATACCTGTCATGACTTAAAGATGAAAGTTGCACATTGCACTTCGACTCAGTAAGGAGATCAAATAAATGCAGCCCATTGTTGCATAAACATAAACGCAGTTACATTATAGCCAATTGCTGAATTCACTATGTGTTTTTTCTCTAAAGCCCAGTCATCCAGAAGATTAGACAAGGCTGCTCAAAGGAGTTTGGGGATTTTGAGAAATGTCTCAGCGAAAACCAAGACCAGCCTACCTCTTGTTCCCCTCATGTGGCCCGCTTTCTAGCATGTGCAGAGACTGTGGACCTCAGTCAAGAAGGTGTGTAATTTTTTTCTTTATCGACTTTGGTTAAATATGAGAAATATTGAAGCATTTTGAAAGATATCAGTGTATAATAATTTTTTCCTCCCTAGATACAAGTGCAGTGCCCCAGTCGTCATAATGAAAAATTATCCTTCACCTGGGAAACATCATGCAGCTGTTTATCATGGAAGAAAGCAATTTTTTTGTGTAAAATATTTAATGCAATCAGCCAAATAATAAATGAGTCACTTGATATGCTTTCTAGTGTGCTCATTCTCTGTATTAAGGTCATGTGAGATTAGTTTTTAGTCTTGTTGGCTTGGTGAATTTTTAAACTGGAATGTATGGCTCCCACACACAGGCTCTCGGCCATTCATTGACAAAGACACAGGGAGTTTGAGAAGAAGAGGGTCACAGGAGGCGGCTGTGGATGGGCAGGAGCAGAGGGAGGATGGTGAGTTATGAGTCCTGTGACCACTGAGCCGAGCAATTCTAGGTTCACTTATCAAAGCTGAGTCCAGATTGTGTGTTGCAGCAAAATTTGTCAAGGTCAGAATGCTAGATCCTTCATATTTAGAGGAGACATATTATTCAGATGCGCCTTTTTGAGGATTTAACCTTGCTGCAATATTGTCACCTCATCAAAAACATACCTGGAGTTGTTTATAGATCCATCCAGATATAAACCTTGTATTGGGAAGTTTTTGCACAAAACTGTTCTCCCGCCCAATCAGTCTAAAAAGTATTTTCCCAACTGCACTCAATGATATTTTGTGATCTCATGGACAGAGCTGTTTTCTGCCCTTAATATAAGTATTGCCGCCAAATTAGTTTTAGGAGTTTAACGTTCTTGACGACATGCCTTGAAGTACATCCTTGGCCGTATACAGAATAATAATTAAAAAATCCAATTTAGTTGATCTACAGTAGATTCACATGGTGAGAATATTATCATTGTAACTTTACTATTTGGTTCTCTAAGGAAATTAAATATGTGACTCCCTAAATATCAACATCCCATTTGTCTTGACTTGTTGCAGATAAATCTATTGGCAGGGAGAAAAATTAAACAACATTTTGAGTACTTTGGGGATTGTTTTAAATAGCAAAAAATATGATTACTGAGATTTAGAGCAGTCATATTATATGGACAAAGCTAACATGATCTACAACATTGTGTTGCTACCTGCTGGTTAGTAATGTGATGAGAGACCTCAGGAAACACCAGGTGCCGCAGTGGAGTGGATGTAAATTGCCAAACTTTGCCTAGCAGGAGTCTGTTTGGTGGTGGTCGGAGGGGACAATGGCACAGATTTGTGAAAATATGTGTCTGCACATGAGTGAATACGCAGTGATGACCAAAAAAATATTAATTCAATCCACTTTCACATCATAAATGATAAATTCACCCTTCATTGTTACAAGTTAACTGTAACTTAGGTCCAGATGTGATGAACCTCAATGCTCTTCGTCATTAGTATAAATTTATGAAATCAGAATATAACTTCCTACTTCTACCACTAGATGGGACTGTTTGATCATCCTAACCATAAGATACTTGTTTATTCTTACAATTTAAACTTAAGAACTTATTTTACTTTGTAAAACCTGTAATGCCAAAGCAAACTTATTTCAAAGATAATGTTTAAGGATTATAATAAACACAAATAATTCATAATATTTGTTCTTCAAGACAAAAACCATTCACACACGTTTAAAAGGTGACACCGCACATTGTATTGAGGATACGGTAACATTACATTCAAAAACATCACTGTCAGTTACTGAACAAACTTAGAGGAAACTTAGTATTACACAAATCACATTCACAGAAATTCACTGTAAAAATATAGATTAAAGTTAAACATAACACCAGGGAAAATGTCACAAACTTTAGCCACTCGCTGATGCCTGAATGAGACATCATCTTGCTTTTCCTATATTACACAGCGCCACATTGTCCGCTGAATGTCGTCAAACCAAGGTGCAGATTTTAAGACCTACGCGGTGACACATAAATATCATGCTACAGATTAAATAGTTGATTATTACAGTAGGTACAAAATATTTAGCTAACAACATCTTATTGAGATGTCCAAGAAGTTAACTACAACAAATAATTATAACACAGTGATTCTCACATTTACATTTTGTGCACGCCGTGGTGCTCCTAGTGTCCTATGTTTTGGAGATTTCAGATCCATTGGTTCAGTTTGATGTGTCTTTAAGAGCTCTAAAAGGGAAGGTAATTACCCTGTTTCCACATAAGGCATTCTAAATGACCCTGTTTCAATATCCTTTTATGTTTTTGGCACATACATTTTGAAATGCCGCACATTAAACGCTAAGTTAGAATGTAATGGTCGTTAATGCAGTACTTGTAGTCAGTGGGCAGGTCAGCACAATATCCTGAGTATGAGCTCAGGCAACATAAACATACACACAAACCTGAGAGAAAACTGTACACCAGTCTATACAGTCCTGAATAACCTGCAGTCCTTCACACTCACTAGTGATGCACCTGTTTCCAATATTATACACACTGTTCATTTCATTTACCCTTCAGTGTGGAGCCAGTACCTGTAATGAAGTGTGTATGTAGTGTGTTTCGCATCTACGATGGGTCTCATTTCCACACAGCACAAAACTATAACCAAACTGAGGTCATTACATGTTTATATTTCCAGCATATGATCTATAGGAAAGACAGTTGAAGTATGAGACAGTTGAATGCATGGGTATATCGTGACCATGCAAAGTATTGAATATTTAGGCATGGAAATGTTTGTGTTGCTATGATGGAGAGTTCTTGCAGCAGTGCCAACATACTATAGACTCCCGATAGCTGCAACTCTGAGGTGGAAAGTGATCGCTTGAGGGCAGTGCGTTTATAAGGGTCAGGAGGTGAAGTAGGAGTTCTGCATGGAATACAGGCGGTCAATGGGGTTTCCCACGCGGCCTGACAGGAGTCCACCATCTCCCGCAGCAAGAAGGCAGTCTCCAAGGTGACTGAGGCTCCCGTCACTGTCCAGGTCATGGAATACCGTCTCAGAGTCTGCAGTAAAATAACACTTTCAATGAAACACATTTTCCTTTGATTTCAGCTCCCCAGTAAATCATATATTTTACAGGCTTACGGTCTGTATCCTTTTAAATATCATTTGTTTTTACATGAATACTGGTGTACATGATTACAGGTATACTGCTGGAGAAAATAATGCAATAATATCCTCAAGATTCAGCCTAATGGACATGTTTTGTAATCATCCACTTTCTATTACAACCCCCTTTTCAAAGCAGGCTCCGAGAAACACATTACCTTGTTATTTGTTTTCATGACCAGCATTTATTTCAGGCAATAACTGAATAATTTGCTCCCAGCTTTGCAAATGGTTTATGGTTTTTGGGACTGATGACCCTTTGACCACAAAAATCTCCACAAACCAGACCCCCAGCCCATGTTGGGAACCACTTTATAAACTATTGCAGGGGGTAAATGGGGGGGCCTTGTCATATTGTGCACTGTTGTTACTGCATTTGCCTACGTTGTCTCTATATGTTCATTCATTGGAGAGAAGACCGCTACATCATTACCATTGTATATTCACAATGACTACAGATGATGCACAAACTCTAACATTAATCTTTGACATTTGGGCCATTAAAGCTCTATCTCACCGTAGGGATGAAGTTGGTCACTGCCCAGCTGAGGAGGTGTGAGGCCATGTCGAAAGGACTCCCCTCCGTAGATGTCGAGCGCAAGTAGCTGCTGACGTGGCAAGGAATATCCCAGGAGACCATCCATTCCGTGGGTACTCGAGCCGTCTTTGTTAAGACAAGAATCCCCCTCAGTCAAACTAAATTAAACAGTATTTTCTTTTACCTCAGTGTGACATTTGAAATTCTTACCCTCACTGTCGTCGTTGCTCTGGCGTCCCCCTCGGCTGGGCCCTCTGCGGCTCCCTCCAAGCTGCTCCTGCTCCTGCTGCTGCTGCTGCTGTTGCTGCTGTCTGCGTGCTATTTTCTTCATCTAAGTCGAAAGAAAACCACGTTATAGTCGTGGTAAGATTATCCCCCTGTTAATGTTAAATGAATGTGGTTTGAAAAAAAGTTGTTTGCAAAGTCGGACCTTGGCTCTTTGGTTCTGGAACCACACTTGGACCACACGCACAGTCAGCCCCGTCTCGGCGGCTAAGGTCTCTCTAACCTGCACATGCACACAGTCAGACCAAAAACAGGCAAATACAAATATGCAGCACAATACGTAACGAGCTAGTTTGTGTTAATTATTCAGCCATATACTCCTGTTACTGGTTCACCTTGTTTTCCTCTTTTGAAGTTCTGACCTCCGCACATGTGCTGGGGCAGTCATTATGTTATGGCTGATTAATTCTAGATCGGGGTTCTATCCGTCTTAAAACATCCACAGAACAAGTGTATCCTCCACTATTACGACACAATTACAACACAAAGAATACCTAAGTTAATTGAAGACACAATTTTTTTTATATGGTTTCAATATGATTTCAACTCTAGTCTATCATTGGGCACACTTCACAATTAAAATCTGCTAAATTGTGGGTTAAATTCATCTTGGTCTTAAAGCATGATTTCTCAAGAAAATAATGTGTTATTTTTCAAGAGACCAGTACATTCTTCAATTTATAATTTACTTTATTCGAGTCTAATCTAATACCTTGTCAAGAGAGGATTTGTAAGTCTATATTTGAGCAAAAAAACAAACAAAGGATAACACAAATGATTTTCAGTATTATCTTGAAAATAAAAATGCAGATTATATTAACTGACATATAAAATGGCTGCTTTGATTGTAGACCTCTACGAAAAAAAGACCCAAACGTTTCAATGATAATTAAAGACAACAGACTTCCGATCTGGGTTCTAAAGTGATGAATTGCACAGCGCACATGTCTTAAGTGTGACTAACGGACCCACCTTGCGGCAGGGCTTGGCGGACACCTCAAAGGACGCCTTGAAAGCTCGGCGCTGCTGCGTGGTCAAGATGGTGCGGGGTCTCTTGGATCGCTTGTGCTCTTTGCCCTCGTCTCCCCCTTTGCCTCCTCCCGATCCTCCTCCTCCTTCCTCATCCTCACTCTTCACTGATCAAGGTCAACAAAAAAAACAATGGGCCCTTATGAGGGGTTTCCACAGAGATGATGATAGAAAACATTGCACAAGGCCTGAAAGCTGCGGGAAAAGTAGGAGTGAAATGTCAGGTCATCGTAGTTTAGGCTAACCACTGCCGAGATCGCTGAGGTGCACGGATCTGGTTCAGTACTCCACTCAAAATTCAGGTTTTGTCTTAAAGCTGGAGTATCTAACTTTCAAACTAATGTCAATGAAACCATTTTGTGTCGCATCTTTAAATCAGAAAAGAAAAGTCAAAACAATAGGAGCACCCCAATCACCACTCGCCCAACAAGTCTAATAGTGACAAACAGGGTAGTTTCTTGCCAAACATGCAAAAGATAACATGGTTTCATTGTATGGCAGCCTGTTGTGGTCTTATTTTTTCACAACATAGGGACAAACTACATGTGTTATTTATGGGGGGAAAGTCAGGTACCCGAGCTTTAAAAAAAAAATACAAATCGTGTCTATTTTCAAATGTTTTCTATCAACTATCAAAGTGTGGCAGCAATAAAGTTTAAATGTGTTTGCTTTAGTGACTATTTCATGAGATTCAAATTGTGTCTTGTCAAGTAAACCAAAACATTAATACTATTTATAAAACACTCAACAGACTAAACATATCACGATTTTTGCGCATTATGCTCACCCACACAGAACCACAAAGACAATGGGTTATTAAAACATAACTATTCTTTATCTTAGAGAAACAACCTCATCAGGAAGTAAAGAGAAGCAGACAAAAATGTAATATTATGTTATCTTCATATAAAAAAAGTTGCAAATGAATGTTCCCATTATTCTGATCTGATCTCATTTGCATAAGATAAGATAAGAGCACACGAAAACCTTTATTTGTCTCGAAATTGCAAAGACCCACAATTCAATACATCTGAATGTCAACAGTCTCCCTATTATTATTGCAATCATTCATAAGTGACATTCTCAGCAGATATAACCGTTTGGTTTTTGATTTGTTAGAGGACTGAAGTGTTCTCTGGACTTTGAGAATAATTAACCCAATAATAAATCAAACAAAATTGACCAGAAAAAGGATAAAACTTTAAATCATATAAACTACTGTTGTTTATCATATTGGAAGTGACTTTGTATTCAAATCTGTGAATCGTAATAACTTTACTTTTAACTCCTCTATCTTAGAAAAAGCTGTACTTTAGAGATGTTTAGAAATGTTTTATTATTCATCTCTACTTTTGACTTGATTGCACCAAGAGCCAAAGCAATTTCCTAGTCTGCGACTTCCTGTTACTTACATATCATTTAATATGCATAATTAGTTCAATCAAAAGGGGTAGGATTCCATAAGTTTTAAGCTTCCTCCTATTTTTGACAATCATGTTCTGAGTGTATTTCTAGTAAAAAAATGTTTTTCAATTGACCGACTCTGTGAGTGGAATGTCTTGCATGTTTTTTAATAGATGCTCACATGAATAAAGAAATAAATTACAAACATGTAACACATTATAGCTATGAACTGAAGGGCTGTGAATTAGGCATGTATTCTTTTTTTTTTGCTTTGTCTATTTGAAAACATGTTTCACATCTGTCTTAGAATTAATTTGTAATAATATGTGAAATTTGAGGAATGATTGAGGACTACAAATGTGTGTCACATTTTCAAAACAAAGATATCTTTGCTTTAATGAACGTTTACTTTTGTCTGGACTGGTGTCATTCTTGTCTCCATCTTATTCCACATGTTTTACCTGACTCGGTGGGCGTGGGGCTGATGGCGGCCAGCATCTCCCTCTCCTTCTCGTAGTCCATGCGACACAGCAGCTGTCCCTCCTTCAGCACAAACTCGTCTCCTCTCTGCAGCCGCCGCTCGCACTCGCAGCAGCTGAAGCAGCCCAGGTGATAGACCTGTCCCAGCACACGCATGATGAGCTCCGAGCGCCCAATCACCTGGAGGCACGCGCTGCACTTCCTCACGAAGAGCCTGGAGGTGACACACGCACTGATGACACACGCACTGATGATACACATGTGGGAGTAATGTACTGTATATGCACAGTTCATTAAAAGTGCCAGTAAATAGTTCCTCACTCTCTCCTCACTCTCACAGTTTTTTTCTATCACTAGTTTTCTAGTTTGGTTTTTGTTACACCATTAAATCAGATTTTCTCAGAGATAATGTGAATAATGAGGGCCACGCTCACTCAGCCAATCAGCTCTCAGCCCAAAGCATAGAATCACACACAACTTTACAAGAATTATTTAGAAGAATAAAAGTTTATGAATGATAGAAATAATAAAAGCTCAGCTTTAATTGGTCGATGGCGTTTTAGTCAACCACATTTGTATTACACTAATACAAATAAAAAAGTATATCATGCATTTCTACTGGACAATGGAAAAAATGAGATGTTATTAAGAAAATATTTAGTTTTGGTATTTAAAACAGACATTTCCAATTCCCAAATGTAATTAACGTTGGTTAGTTTAGCTTTATAGTTTTCAATGTTGTTTCAATGTTTTCAAGCTTGGACAGTTGTAGACTTGTAATTGTTTTAATTGACAGAGTACATTTTTAGTCGACAGCCGTGGTTTACATAACCTGGCATTATTTTCTATCTCATTGCCATGTTTCTAAATTGAAATAATAATAACTGGATTAATCTATTTTCTGAGTTGTTTGAGAAAATATTACTATATTACTCCTTTTAAATAAAAATTATCGGAAAACAACCCAAATAACCTGAGATCTAAAGTTTACAAACCCTGATTTTGGGCTCATAAGTTGCCACAATGTATATATACATAGTTGACAACATATAACATTCCCCAACCATTCACAAAGATTTCATATACTATATATGTATATTTGAAGTGTCAGTTCTCAATCATAATTATATCTATCAATTAATACACCGTTTATATCATTCATATTATTCAGGTTTTAATATATGATTATTAATGATATGGTAAGGTGTTTTTTCTCATCACTTCCAGGAGGTTTGTGCAACATAATTTTTGACTGGACCTAAATACAGTTTGATTGATAGATACATCACTATGTGCATTTAGAGATATTCAGCCCAACACACTTAATTAAAAAAATATAAATATTTAAAGACAATAATTCCACTGCCTCTGTGTAATTAAAGTGTTGACACATATATCTCTCGTCTCCTTGCTACATAGAGATTAGCAAAGTCTCTTAATTAAAGGTCGTATGAACATTACCCAAAGCACAAAGCAACAAGGTGAACATCTGCTCAGAGGAATTACATCAGATGACATTTCACTTCTTTCTTCTCACGATAGGGGGCAGTAGTTAGTTAGCTGCTGTTGATGCTGCTCTCACCTGCATTTCTCACACATTTATGTGTTACAGTATTTGATCATGTTTGCAATGAAATAAATATTTTTTTTTTCATTAAAAATATATTCAGGGCTGCATCTAAAGGTGGAATGGGAAACATTTTAAAAACTGGCTTGATAGTATAAACCTACAATATCAAATGATTGTCCTGAAAAGCTTTGCTGGATAAAAACAGAAAGGAAAAAGGCAAAAGCAATCTGTGCTGACGTCTACTTTGCAAACCTCAACCATATGTGCAGGTCTGGTGGTGCACTTTTCAGGATAATTTTGCCTTGATATTGTTCTTGTAAAATAGAAATAAATCTAGATAAATATGTTATTACCATCTGGGACATTTAAGGACATTTATGGACATTTTACCAACATTTATGGAATTTGGTCGACTGCCCTTTGGACTATAATGTTTGTTATCATTTCATTTCCTGTGTTCAAACTATTTGATTCTCTGATCTGTTGTTGGTGAATTTACAACTTTGTAAAGTTCTCTAAGACAGTTGCTGTTGTGATTTAGGGCTTTTCTCTCCTTTAATATAATAAAAGACATGATTTACTCTAATATTACTCAAATACTCCCGAATACTCGAGATTTTAGGAAGAAGCTTGAGACCTCATAGAAAATAGGAATGTAACACTCACTCAGTAATAATTTATAATAATTATACATTATATTTAAACGGACATTATGTCTTACTTTCTTACACTCAAAGAAGCTGTTTAGGCTGTTTTGAACTCAATCCCCGGTTTGATTCAGTTTTTGATTTTAAGTTCCCAATCCAGATTTCTTTACTAAATGAATATAACTCACTGTAAAACTAAAAGATGTATCTACATATTGTAGCATCTGCATCATTTTTGTCCTATAACTGCAGTCTTTACATTACCATTAGATAATAGAACGTGGCATAGTCAAAGGATTCACATTTTAAGCAGTTTGGATTGATTTTAACTAACAACTAGTTACATCACATAACAAAGAATATTACAATTTATAGGCAAAGATAAACATGTGTAAATAACCTCTGTGGTATCAAAAATCAAGATTTTTTTCTAGCGTTGAAATTGAGTTTGAAATGTATTACCATGACAACACTACCTACAGCAGGACTGAACCAGGACTCACACCGAGACCAAACCAGCAAACACGGACACACCATACACTTCTTTTTTTCTCCGCCACTAAATTCCTCCCAAATCCTGGTTCCTGATCCTAGTGTTTTACCCCCTCCCAACACACCACCAAATCTGCCAGAATTCCCAGTTTCCCTGTTGCCCTCCCAGCCTGCCTCCCCAGTTCACCGAAACTAATAAAGACAGGATTAATTAGATTGTTGTTTAAACAGTGCGATGGCCAGACAGACGCTGTAAACTCATAACCAGGGATTGGGGATAGCATGGGGTTAATCTCTCCTCTCTCACTTATGCACACAGATATCTGCAAGCACCCACCCACAGAGAAAACACCTATAGTCTAACATTACCTGCATTGGCTCAAACAATAAACAGCAATTGCAAAAATGGCAGTCTTTTCAAGCAATTTATCAACATTTTTAGGTGATTTTTGCAGAGGAAACGGGAATGAAAAACACTGGATTAGTGCAAGTGTTGAAGCTCCCTTACCGGGTGCAAGGAAGGTGTAGCTGTCCAAATCTGGAGTGTAAAAAGGAGCCAGGTCTGCACATAAGAGCCCCTAATCTGCGATTCTGTCCCAAACGCAGCTGCTATGGCTAATCTTTCCCAATCCATCTGCCAAACGCTCCCCAAATTCCCCAAATGACAGTGTCGCTAAGTTGAGATCACGGCACAAAAGTCGCTATAAGCAGCCATTCAGACAGTATATTGAGTCATGATACACTGCTACAATGTGTTGAGGTCCATGCATCATATCACGTCCCTTTGAGGAGCTGAAGCAAAGCCCTGGGGACACTGGTGATGTTTGCCATAGCAATAATTTACATAGATATTTATTTTCCGAAAAAAGATTTGTACACACGTTTTATTGCTTATTAAACTTCAAATCTGTATATGGAATTTTAATGGTATGACTAAAACATGTACAATAGTCCCTTCTGTTTGACTCCCCTGACTTTCCCCTTCATATAGAAAAGTCACTACACTGGAAACATATTATTTAAATATTCAAGTTTAATATTTATTGAGATTTTGAATTCAGCAAACTATATATATGCTTTTTTAATATTTTTTTTAATCAGTAATGCACATTTGACATGGAAACAAGATTCTTTTGGAAGCATTAAAAGAAGAAACTATGGTCAAGGCAGAGGTCAAGGACAGAGATCTCATAAAAATAGACCACTTTTTTGAATTATGATATTAGTAAATTAGTAAATTATAGCAAATATGTATTTTGGATGCCGACAAATTTATGCAATTTTTTTTTCACTAAAACAAAAAGCAGAGTTGTTTAATTCAAAGTAACAAGAATAGCAACAACAAAAAAATCCTTTGAAAATACCCGATTACCACCAGTGCATTGTTACTTCGAAGAAAAGGCGAGCATATGGTGAGATTCCTGGGCATTTTCCTACAATATAAACAAGCTGGAAGTGCCCCACAGTCGTCCAGCAGCGTTTGACATGAGACCGATGATGTGAGTGTTCAGTTCAATAGTCTCTAATCATGGAGCACTCAGCGCGGCAGGAATTTACTCAACGCAGCAAATGAAGGCGACTCGGGGGCAACTCTCACAGAGGGGGGTCTGTAAGGAGATCAGGCTAATCCCCCTAATAGAAGTATCATTCACACTGCTCTTTACCGCACTACCACCGCCACTGACCGACTGCGTCACAGAGATTACACACTCAACATGGATGTGTTCCCCTTTAATGTCTATATTACAGCTGTCACCGTGCGGAAACTTTCAACTCGATGGTGTGAGTGATATAGACGTGACACTCAGCACGTGCACGGATTAGAAAACGAAATATTTTGGGACTATAAGCTGCATTTTAAACTGTGACTGTTCAAGAAATGTTGTTCTTTTTACGTGCTCTAAGCAATATCTTGTTTGGATACTGGTTTTAGGATAATTAACCCATTCAGTTAATGTGTTTTCAAAATATGTTTTAGAAGAAAATATGATTCATGATTTATTATTTATTTAGAATCCCTATTTCAGCTCTTTTAGTCTCAAGAAAAGCAGAGACAATATTATTGTTTTCCATTTTAGTGTAACCTGTAATGGCTTCTTTCCATTACAGGGATGGGGCTCCTGCTGGTGCCCAGAGACAGAACTAAACATGTATGCAGTTTAACTCTGGAACATTCTTTCTGAAAATGTGAGACAGGCCTCTAGTCTGACCATGTTCAAATCCTGGTTAAAAATAGTTCCTTTTAGCTGTGCATACAACTGAAAGATTGTATCGTCACTCTTATAATTATATATACGTTAGAATGAGGTGAAACATACCATTATCGCCCACCTTAACCTCTCTCAATGCTTGTGAGTTAGGGATAATGACTGAACACCAAATGTTTGACTCTCCTGTTTTAGCTGAAGAATCTTTCGAATTGTTTATGTGCCTTTTTAGATAGATATATAGATACTTTATTGATCCCCGTAGGAGAAATTCTGGTGTAGTGGCAGAAACACATGC